AAAAAAGCAAAGCAACTCCATACTTATACAGATTATACAGTTAAACCAAATTCTTTTGAAAAGCTTGTTTAAGAATAAATAGATTTTGTTTAATTTGTTTATGTTTTTCACCCACTGACGAAGTTAAACTGTTATGGCCAAACCATCACGCCAATAAACACACAGTAATAAACACTGAAAGTCAAGATTTAACTGTGTATTACAGCGAACTGACAGGATTTTACCGTTTTGATCCACGTCCTCAAGCACCATTTTGACTAAGAGCGTCTGGACTGAAAAAATTACCAGCGTGTTTTATATGTGTAGGCTATAAAAAAGTACACAGTGTATGTTTTTGCTAAATCGCTTGCAAATATAAGATTGTTGTTAGGTCATACATACCATGTAATATTAGAATAGGTACCCCTTAGTTTCAAAATACTTACAGTAGAAATAATTTGTAATTTTACAGATTATTACTCCTTTATTCCCCAAACTTCGCATATTGTTCCCTTATACCTACACGGAGATACAGAATAAGTACACTGTAATTACAAAAATGTTATGCTGTAAATTCTGTTTACTTACGCAGTACATTGCGGGTTGTAATCTAAAGCATTACCATTATTATTTTGCAGTAATTGTTTCAGTAATTTATTAACAGTTCCTGAATAGCACTTCAGTAAATGAACATCAGTGCTTTTATCCCCACCCCTTACTGGGTATGGGCAGGATTTCCCCCTCCCATTTAACCAATATTAACTAAGATATTGTCATATTATTAATATTATTAATTATGATTCTAGCCTATGTATTGTATTACTACCTTAAATATGTATCAGCACAATTTAGAAGTTACACACATCTGAGGTACTTTTTTTGAAACATTAAAAAAATGGTCTAGTGCAGCTGTTCTTAACCTGGGGGTCGTGGGAAGACTTTTATTTTGAATGTGTATAAAATGCTCATCTAAAACCACCACCTACCAGCCACATGATATAACAAATTAACTGCCAATTGGAAGTACCAAATAGTAATTTGGGGTTCATAGCTGGACTGCCGATTAGACAGAAAATATGATGGAATGTGGCTTCACTCAGACCAGAGACCGGGGGGATTGCCGACCACAGTGTGTGATTTGCAGCGAGGTGTTAGCAAGGGAGAGTCCTAAACCTTCCAAAATGCTAAGACACTTGACAACTTCTACACACTGTTTTCCTGTTTAATACTATAAAGCGGTAACACTTTAGAATAATGATCCTTTGTTAACAAGTAACTATGCAGAAAGTAATATATACTGTATATACAGGTGCATCTCAATAAATTAGAATGTTGTGGAAAAGTTCATTTATTTCAGTAATTCAACTCAAATTGTGAAACTCGTGTATTAAATAAATTCAATGCACACAGACTGAAGTAGTTTAAGTCTTTGGTTCTTTTAATTGTGATGATTTTGGCTCACATTTAACAAAAACCCACCAATTCACAACAAATTAGAATACTTCATAAGAAAAATACCAATAAAAAAAACATTTTTAGTGAAATGTTGGCCTTCTGGAAAGTATGTTCTACAATGTCTGGTAGAATATCACTAGTGCCTCACAGAAATGTATGGCTGTACAGTAGCCTATGTGTCAGATATAAAATATAAAATGTTAAATAAGTTTATTGTAAATTACTTGTGAAATCCATGTTAACCCCTGACTAATTACTCAAGCGTTACCTTGTCAGTCCACAGGAACTACTAGTGATCTGGACCATTATTTTAAAGTGAAAAACATGTTAACCCCTCACTAACATGTCACCCTGCAAGAACTATATACAACATAAAAAACTGCAGTGATTGGGTCTAACATTTTCTTTAATTATAAGCACTGAAACTTTTACATAAAATCATAAAAGAAAACACTGCATAATGGAAAAAAATTAACAACTGGGTGTTCAACATTCTAAAATTAAATTTGGCACAGTGATGACACAGATAAGAAATTGAGCCACAGTAATATCTCCTACAAAGACAAGCACATGCACAAGCACACAAATGCTCACTCACACAGGTATTAGCAATTTATTTTTGAGCATACTCCAAAATATTAAACTCTGTATTGTCTTCTAATATCTTTTAACAAACATCCTAGAGGACCATCACGGTGGTTGTGTCCAAGCCAGTATGTCCACTCAATGCATGTCAAGTGTTCCTTCAACAGCTTTTCTGTCCTATTGCCTCTCAACCTCCAGACCTGGTTTTTATATGTTGACCATGCTCGTTCTATATTCTGGGTGTGGCCTCCATGAACTGGGTCAACAAACCACCTGCTATGATTCACAGTGTAGTGAGTATATCCAAGTGTGGTCAGAGCTCTCTTGTAGGGTCTCCATTCGTCACTCAAAATGGTTGATCCCTGGTGAACATGTCTTGTTATCACTGGAATCAGATGATTTCTTGAGTGCTTTCTAACAAGCCGCAAAATTGGTCGTCTTCTATCACCCTTAATGGCCAAGATACCAAAGACCCACTTTTTTCTTCTCCATGTTTTGCCAGCTCTTCCTCGTCCATACTAAAAAAAAAAACATTCAACAAGTGTCTTGCTTTTTCGTTCCCTGTGAGAAGTGTTGTATTAACACTATTACACTTCTGTCTCAGATGACAAACTAAATATTCAATATAACATTACAGTGTCCATACTTTTTATATCTTCGTTTTGTCTTTTAATCATTCAATTAAATAACTGTCTAGAATAGCTAGCATAACTTTTACTTAAGCAAAACTTTCTGATGAAGGACTTAAAGGGGACATCGTATACACATTTTCCACAAGTTTCAATGATTCTTTAGTAGGCCTGTCGCAATAATCAATATATCGCACAATATATGTACATGACCTCAATCATTTTTGGTGACGCAATATATCGCCCATTATATTTACGTACAAAAGAAAAGAAACAGAGAAAAGAAGGTCAGGGAAAAATCTGTAGATGGAAAAATCTCCATACAAGTTCTTTGTGCATTTTTCTTTTTTTCTACTTGTTACTTTGCACTTTTTGATACCATACCATATGGGGTGATACCGGGGGTCATATAGCCTATTCCTACATTACTTGAAGCTCCTTGATGGCTAATGTCAAAATCGTAATTGCACAATGTGCAAAATGCTAGACTTCATGTTAAATATTTTTCATAGGTTAGTACTCGGAGTCGGCACTCAGTTTGTGATATTCCTGTTATACAGTATTTTAGAGTAAACAGTAGGAATGCAACAATACAGTTAGCCCAAGGTTCAATAAATACCTCAGTTTTTTAAACACAGTTTTCAGTTTGGTTCTGATGGTTTGGCACAACAGTTCTTTTTAGCGATTTTAAATGCTATTTAAAAAAAAACAAACTCCAGTATACTTTAAGTAAAACTCCAGTACATTGTTGTACACTGTAGAAAAACATGGATTATCACATGTCTACCTTAAATTTATTTTGAGAGAAGTATTCTTTTTATAGATTGGCCATTATTTAGTGCTATGAACACATGTAATGTCTGCTTCATTCATACTGGATGCAAAATGCGTACAGGTTGGCAGGTCTGCAAAAAGTTGTTATCATGACAGGCCTATTCTTTAGGGTCTTCATGAAATGTCTGTAACATACTTTAGTTAAACTTCCTCAATGATCGTGTAAAAAACCTCCCTTTTTACCTTGTCAAAAACAGCTCTGTTCACAGTGACCCATTTCGGTGCATTTCTCTTTAAATGATAATGAGGTACTGCTCACCCCCATCCCTCTCTTCCATGGGGCATGCCGACACAAGACATGTGAATTGCTGCCTTGGACTCTGTATATGGCTTCAAATAGCTAGCTATCTATGTAGAAACTGGCTGCAGATTGAAACAGCTCACTGGATGACACAGTTTCATACTCAGAAAGCCCACTGGCTGCGTGTTTTCGTTTCAGCTTTTCTGAGGTGGCAGATACGTCAGAAATCTAACTAGGTGCAAAAAAAAAAATTTCTATAAAAGTGAAAATTTCATCTGATGTCCTCTTTAAGAGTTTCTGTATTTTTTGGGCCAAATGTTTGTGCTAAAACATGTTGCTCCAATCATGCTCCTCCTTGCTTTGTTTTACCCTTTCAACAGACAGTTTATTTTTGTACATTTGATTTGAAAGTAAAGTTGCACTACAGCCATGATATTATAGCCTTAAAAATAAATACCTTTCTTTTGTGACGGAAGTTGCTTTCATCTATAATGACAAACTCTGTCCTGCCCCCCACAAACTGTCCTGTCTTTCTCTTGTACTTTCTCAAAGCTTTTTTACAGACCATTCTTAGCTTCTTTGTCATTTTGTTCAGTGTTGCTGAGCTTCCGGCTATGCCATCCTGGATCATATCCACCTGTCGTAATCTCAGTCCTTGACAATATCTGTTAACAAGAGTGAAAATAGATTGCATGTAAAAAGATTCACATTGGTCTTTGCATTATCACGATGTTTGTTTCAACTTTGCAGAAACATATTTGCTCTAAGGTAAATTATTCAAGCTGCCAATATGACAGGGTTTTTAATCACTTAAAATTAAACAAGTCTATGATTATGAGAATGAAGTTGAAGCTATATGATGAATAAAATCTACTATTTTGCGGATAAAGTCAAATTTGTGTGAAAAAGGTCATGTTACAACAATTAAGGTGTAGCAATATAAGAATTAAGTCAATATATTGAGAATTAAGTATTATATGGCGTGAATATTTCATAAATAATTGTTTTGATTAAAAATCAGTATTACAACAATACAGCATTATCACAAAGAACTGAACTCACTCGGTTAACTTACCTGACTGATTTACAATGCATAAATTAATGTCCGTTTACATTTCCTGTAGTTACTGTTTAAATATATTATTACCTGCTCTCTATAAAATCAGTGAGGTGCATTTCTGTAATTCATACCGGTAAATAAAAGTCATCCAGCTTTGTAAGGTGGTCCTGCTGTTTTCGAATATCGATCCAGCTCTGCAGCTCTTTGTAAATTTCCTATGTGACCTTCTAAATACCCTAAAATCACCACATTCAGCATTTGTATAGGAGTTTATACACATATTTGAATGAATTATGTTAATTTTCTTACCACTGATATCCATCCCGTGTATTTGTCTTTTGTAGATTCATCGATTTCTTACAGACGTTACAAGTCATTGTTGACTTCATAAGATTATGTTTTTGTAAAAAATCAATCATTTTTTTCGTCCCTTTTCTATCCCTGCGATTACAGAGGGAGAGGATTTTCTTCGCAAGTCCCGTAACTGCAGGTAATTGTTACCATCTACTACCAACTCTAAAATGCGCATGTTTCACAGACGTTGAAATTGCGCGTTTTTCACTCCGGAAGTACTGCCTGAATTATTTTCTACAAGTTTTTCCTTTTCTTTCTTTCTTTCTTTTCTTTTTAGTTTTCAGAAAATATTTAAATTAAAAATAAAATGAACGCAGATTCTAAGTTCATGTTTATGTCCATATCTTTCTAAACACTTACTGATTTATTAAATTGCACTAAAACACTTAAAAATAATAATTTGTATTTTGTATCTAAGTTAAACGTTTACATCCTCATAACTATTTTAATCAAGTTGTTTTACTATTATCCTGGTTCATAGAGTTGTCATCCGACTCAAATTATCAAATGAAATATAAATGTTACAAGATGACACTGATTCCATTTAAAGGAGAAAATATTAAAATAAAGAACATAATTAAAGTTTTGGAAGACTTAAAACTGAGTGGAATAATGCCTACGGTCAACCACATATCGTATTGGGGCAATACACTCGAAGAATCGTTTCCAACAGTAGAATTCACGTGCAGAGATGGAAGTTTCTGCAACGTTGCGTTGACGCGTCGCCATATTGGAGTTAGCGAATGCGATAGTTCACAATCAGAAGACAGCATGGCGACGGAGGAAGAGCATAAAACTGTTCGCAAGAGAAAAGCCCCATATCGACTTATTGAGGAAGACAAGGAAGAAGCCGGTAATGTATTGTGTCATTTATGTTTCTTTGGTGTTGGTATCGTGTCCAGTGTTCACGACTGTGGCCCTCGAGATCCACTTTCCTGCAGAGTTTAGTTCAAACTTTGGTCAGTCTCACCGTATCTTTCTAGTAACTTAATCCTGGGGACCTTGATTAGCTTGTTCAGGTGTGTTTGATAAGGCTGAAAGTGGATTTCAAGGGCCAGAGTTGAGATTGAGTTGAATAATCTTTTTGGTTATAAGCAGCCGTTGACAATTTTTTAGCAAGCTAGCTATCTAGGTTGGTATCTAGGTAATTTCAGTTCAAGGCCAAACATTATCGTCATCATTTATAATATTATAGGCTTAAGCATATAATTGCACGTCCGGTACCCCAATACTAAATATGTCATTATTATTATGTCATTATTACAAAAACGTGATTTTCCTTTCTCGCCAGGTATCCTAACTGAATCCTGGTGGATTTTATTTTGTATTTAACGTTATTTGCATAGCGATGCATAAAGGTTGGCACCTGACACTTGTTAATGTTAATGACTAATTGTGTTTTTTTCCCCTGTTCATTTAAAAAAGCTTAATCTTATAAAATAGGTACATACATTTTTGCGAATTTCACATACAATGTTTAAATATATTTATAACGTAATGATCATGTTAGATGATTATAATAACAGGCTGTCAGATTAAAAATAAACCATCCTTATCTCGGCAAAGACATGAAAGTGAGTTGCTGTTAAACTTGGAGACAATTTATGTAAACTTTATAGTTTTTAAACAATGTGTGTTTCATGTGTTAAACACATTCTGAATTAAGTTTGATAGATTATTTGTTTGTTTTATATTCCAGCACAAGCACCAACCCAACAGGTGACCATCAATAAACTCAAAGAAGAAAACTCTTTTTTGAAGTCTAAAGTTAAGTTCCTAGAAGAAAAATGCAAAGATGTGGAAAATGAGAGGGATTTTCTTCGGAGCAGTTTAACCAATGGTGAGAACTGTTTCAGAGTGTTAGTTATTTGTCCACATTATTATTTGTTATTTTATTTATTTTTAAATGTATTTATTATTATTTTTACTACTATGACCATTTTTATTATTATACTTTTTTTTGGCAAACATTTGCTAGGAAAAAACAAAACAAGTGTAAAAGAAAAAAACTTTGTACTCTGTATAAACTCTTCATTCTCATCATTTCCTTATTGCCATTTTGTTCCGAACTTTTTTTGATTTCCATCTGTGGAAAGCTGGTTTGAAATAATGCCCATTGTAAAAAGCTCTACACCATGGGTTTTCAGACTGTTCCCTATCCTCCCCAGCAATGCACATTTTAGATTTCTCCTTTATTTAACATAGCTAAATGAACTCATATGCCGTACACTACTCCACTAACTGAGCTGGCTGTGTCCAATAAGGGTGACATTCAAAATTTCGAGGAGACTTCAGGAATAGTTTGACTGCACAACACTAATAAAAATTACTATAAATGATTCTTTATTTTTTACAGCCCTGTCAACTAAAGAAGCAAAAGAGTCAAAGAGGTCTATTGTCATCACAGATTCTTCTGATGAGGACCACGTGCGATCAGAAAAGAAAAAGTACAGAAAGGGAAGCAAGAAGACCAAGAGAGACGACTCACCTTCTAGTTCCTCCCAGTCTTCATCTTCCTCCGAGTCTTACTCTTCTTCGTCACCCCACAAGACCAAGAAGAACAAAAAGGGAAAGAAAACACAGAAAAGTGCAAAAAGCAAAAGAGGTATGTTCAGTGGCCTTTCAGCATTATTTTTATTAATTATTTTGTACTTAATTCACTTCCATTCCAAAAATTTAAGTTTGGTAAACTCTTGTCCTGCAAACATGAAGATATGTGACCAATAGGACATTGGCTCAATACAAAACATTTTATGGTATAACGCAATTCTAAAATAACAGTATATTTTAATAATTTGTATAGTACTATATTCAGTGTTCGAACTATACCGTGGACTTTGGGGGAAGGGGAGCCGAGCTCCCCCTAGCTCCCCCGTAGTTCGCACCCTGACTATATTATACTGTTATTTATTATACTCAGAAGCCCTCAAATATGCATGGGTGGCTATGGCTTTACACTCACTCACTTCAGAATTCAGGAAGTCTGCCTTTACTGGCAAACAAATTTATATTACATCTATATTTATAAATGTATTCATTGATATAGTATCTTCTGGACTGTATGATATGCTCCTCCCATGTAGAGTCTGCCTATATGCTTTCAGAATAACTACAAAATAATGATATTTGGAGAAACTTGTTAAGATGAATGGATTTTAGTGTTATAAGAAGACATTGTTTTTATTAATAATGTACTATAATCTAGCAAAATGTTGTTCTTTGTCAGTATTTTTACCAGAGCAAGTAATAGGAAGATACAAAAAGGTCCTGAGAGGTACCTGTCAAAAGGATCAACCAAAACAGAGGCTTACCACAAGTGCGGCATGGACAGGAAAACGATTGTGGATACGTGTGTCATTGCTGAATTGGAGGCCTGTGACATCACAGCGTACAACAAATTGCGTGCTACGTTTCAAAAAGGGCAGAAGCTGTCCGACTTTGCAGAACGTTGCCGACAGTTGTGCACACAGGAACCAGTGTGCACTGCCATAGAGGAAAAAAAGAGAAATGGAGAGCTAATAGACATTTCACAAAAAAATAAATAACGTTACCAGTGGCTGTATGTTCTTACCTGTGTAGGATGTGTTCTCAGTTTATCCTCACAATCTAATTGTGTGTGTGTTTGTATATATATATATATATCATGTTTATCTTAGTTTTTCATCACAGTTTCTTGAATGTTTTGAATGTTGTTTCATTCCAAAATGCAGGATGTGGCTAGGTTTCATCACTGTGCCAAATTTATTTTAAAAGTTTAATTTTAGTTTAATTAAAAAATGTAATTTAATTCAGACATATTTTGCACAGTGCTTTATTCTTGCACACCCAGTTGTGCGTTTTTGCATTATGCAGTGTTTTCTTCTATGTAAATGTTTCAGTGCATATGATTTTAAAAAAAATGTTAGACCCAATCACTGCAGTTCTTTTATGTTGTATATAGTTCTTGCAGGGTGACATGTTGGTGAGGGGTTAACATGTTTTTCACTTTAAAATAATGGTCCAGATGAGTTGAAGACATTGAACTTAATGGAGCTCATGATAGTGAACTAATCCAATCATGAGCATCATTTCCTAATTATTTACATTTGTAAATGAATTATTATTATTATTAATTATTATTATATGTTAAAGTTTAAAATATATCATATGGATAGGCTATATATATATATATATATATATATGTACAGGTGCATCTCAATAAATTAGAATGTCGTGGAAAAGTTCATTTATTTCAG